ATCCCTCCATTTGCTGGTATCTGTAAATCAGAACAAAAACAAAATTAAATTATATATTAAAATCTTTAATTGAGCTTATAATTCAAGTTTAGGGTTTTGTTTGATTATTTATGATTAGGGTTGCTTACCAAGTGACCATAGGCCCAGTAGCCTCCAATTGCAAGGGGAAACAAGCATACTGCAATGAGTGTGTAGGACACTTTAACTCCTCTCCACATTGGCACATGTGAGGGATGTTTCTCACTGGAAGGCATGGTGGCCTGCAACACACACCATTAATTCACAAAGTTAAGTCTATGATTGTATCAAAAAAATGAAAAAGGTTAGGCCTATGATTGAATAATATTCACAAAGTTCCAACCTAGGCGATGGTGATGATCATGATAAGTGATGCTTGAGGGCCCCCCACTATTTTTATTTATTTTTTATTTTTTATTTTGATGGACTGATATATATAAAGCTAATAGAAGAGTCATAATTGGTCATGGTGGGTTGTTAATTAAATATTCAGCTAGGAAAACTAAAACTATTGGAATAGTTGTACTGCATCAAAGGACAGTGTCTAAGCAACCTGTTATTTTCTAATCTTTGACAGTTGGCTTCTTGTTCATGGGAAGATGTTCAAGTGGTCAAAATTGTCACTTTGTATTTGTGAAAGCAATATGAAGTCTTATATTCTGGCCTGGCTTCCTAAGCAAGGAGGAGGAGGAGGAGGAGGACTTAGACTTACTGTTAGGAAATATGCTTGTCCTAAAGGAAAGCGTGCATAGACTTGTAGTGCACATTTAATTTGTTAGGTGTCAATCACTGACTTCAAAAAACAATAAAAATTGATATTCTTTGACCTAGTTTGCAGGTTCTCACAGGCCAAGCATTGGGAGTTGAAAAAAAACAAAAATCAATTTATGCTATGGTAAAAAATAATTAAATAATTACCCAGATGGAAATTATCAATTACCTGAATCTCAAGGATAAGATTGTGGCCTCTGAAGGCAAAAGCAATGATCCCAATTGCATTTAGCACACCAAACACCCTTGCAATCTGAGTGCCAGCTCTAATAGGATCATAAGAAACACCAGGAAGCCTCCCTTCTGCTACAGAGGTCACCCAAATCAAGGTACAATACCCAATTGCAGTGATAGCACCAATCAATGAGACACCAGCTATGGAGTTCAAGTTAGGCAGCAGAGACAGCACCACAGCTACACATGTAAAAACCAAGTACCACTCGACTGTTGTTAATGGCTTGGAAGTGCATGTTGGGCACACAGTTTCGTAGAAGAGCTTGGAAGTTGATCCACCAATGACTATCAGAGCCACACAGGTTCCACCAGACAGATACATGATTGGGAACAGGCCTAGCCAATTTGCAATTTTGTCACCTACAACAACATAGCCATTTTGTACCATTAGTTCCTGTCCAGAAATTTGAATAGAAAAACTTAATGAAAATAATCAGAGTCATAATCTTAATTACCATAGGTGAGACTAAACAGTTGCATGTATCTGCTGTAACGCATCCCAGTTTCTACATTCTCATGGAGATGAACCAGTAGCCATAGAGTGTAAAGCTGCCATATGAATCCTAGAGTCAATAGAATTACACCCCATGCCCTGCAATCAATCACAAATGAGAAAAAAGAGCCATAAAACTATTAGCAACCACATAATAGGCAAATTTGTAGCTGCTGAAATGACTTAAAAACACCATCTCGCCAAACAGTCTGACGTGTTATATTGTCATACTCTTTGTCTCAGTTATTACTTAGTGATACTACAATTCAGATTGATATTCTGACAACATCATAAATTTGAAAATGAATTCTGGGTTTTTGGGGGGCGTACCATCCAAGAACTGTGAAAGCCACAGGAAGCACCAAAGCCTGGATACCAATCCCAGAACACAGTGTGTGAAAAGCAGCATAGTACTTGTTGCCATTTCTAGACTCAGTGATGGGAAGCCAAGCATCCTGAGGGTCAAGCCTGGTCATCTTGAGAGCCTTCCTCACAGGGCTACCCAATGGAGTGATGAACCTTGGGGTCAAAGACATCCTTGGGGTTCTAATTGCCAAAGGGGTCTTGGGGGCCTTAGCCACAACTGCACCTTCAGCTCCAGGTTGCTGGTCTGAGGCTCCATCAAGAAGGGGTGATCTGGACAAAGATGGTGAGTTGTATTGAGAAGGAGGACAAGACACTTGTGCCTGTGGTGCCACTGAAGGATTTGGTGCCACAGTTGCTGGCCTTGGTGTTATAGGAGCTGAGCTAATCTCATTTGCTTCCCTACTCATCTTGAGCTTTTCTCAATATTTTTTGTTGCTCCTTTGCTCTCTAGTTGGCTAGCTCCCTCTGCTGCTCTGTGTGTCTTGGTTAGAAAACCCACATAGCAGCATATATATATATAGTGTAAAGATTGAAGTAGGTGCAAGGAAATAGCTTGGTGGGTCTTGTTCTCAAACTGCTATAGAGTTTACAGAAAGGTGTGTAATGACTAATAAGACTTGGTTCGTTTTAGACAGCTTTGTATGACCATAAGAGAGAGGCAGAAAATTAGTTGGAAAATAATTAAAGCATTTGTTTGACGGGCAATTTTGGCTGCCTGTTTTTCTTGCTTTATGCGTTTGAATATTTTACATGTAAAAATATATAATATATCTTATGTAAGAATTTGAGCTCCTTTGTTTGTGCATAGATTGTAGATTGAGATATATTTGAAAAAAATATGGTGAGTTGTGATAACCTTCTTCGCAATTTAGACTATCACTTGAATTAAATAAATAAATAAAAAGATGGTAGATATAATCTTAGTCAAGTTTGTTAAAGCGAATGTTCTGTAACTCCCAATTTCGAATCCCGCTCCAATAGTTAAGATTTTTTTATTTTTTTTTTTATGCAGGGAGATAAACCCCAAGAAACCAACAACTACACAATACTAATCAAAGAGGGCTTCACAACCCCCAACAAATCAAGTAGTTATGATTAGATTACAGTATAATATCTCTTACATAAAAATTTTTAAAAAAAATTATAGATTAAGATATATAATTTGCATAAGTTCATATTGAGTATGATTTGGTCAACGTATTACTCCTGAGGCAAAAAGGGCCAAAGACGACAAACGGCTATTATTTAATTCTAGAAGCATTGAATTTCAGACTACCATTCTAGCATGTGGATATTTTGGAAATATAAAAAAAAAAAAAATTTAAAAAAAAGGCAGAAAAGGGAATGCAAGTTGTTCTCAAAGATGTGCATAGCGGTCAACATTAGTGTTCTTTTGGCATTGGATTTGGACTTTCTTAGACCCCCAAAAATGAAAGTGAGATGAGAAAAAACAAAGTCTCCTGGTCACTTTCTTGGCTTAGACCAGCCAGCCATCAGGGAGATTGAGGGAATGAGATTACATTACTGGACAACTCCAATGCAAATGACTTAATTATTATTGTTCACTCACAAAACTATCATGCTATTTTTTAAATGATACGTTATAGTAAAATAAACTGATGAGATTCAAACACGAATAACCTGATTTCAACACAATGAGTTTTGCCAGTATGTGTTGTAGACTGATTGAACTTTTCGTGTTATGATATAAACTTGATTAATGGATAATAAGGGAATTCACCTTGAGCTATGTGTGAGTTGACACTCTAACTAATTTGCTATTGCTTTAGAACACCTTTTTTTTTTTTTTGTTGTTGTTGCTTAATATCAAATGTGATACTTTTCTTCTAGCTTGACAAAATATGGGATTAGCATAAAAATATCACATTGCATTAGAAATATTTGCTGCAAAGCAGCAGCGATGAAATTTTTCAATGGTCGAGTGTTGAATTTTGCATCAAAGTGAGCACTTCATGCACTTTCTCTACATCATTTGGAGGGGAGAAAAGTAGTGTTTATACAATAATAATAATTGGACAGTCTTTCCCTTCGATTCAAACTTTTGAATTTCTAGAAATTTGATGATAGAAATTGAAATAATACAGCCATCGATCATCACCACCTTAAGTCAAAATAGCGGCCATTTAATAAGTTCTTATCCTAACATATATCATCAATTAACCGTTTGATGCGACTTGAGAAATGAAAATAAAATAATAACAAAAAATTATTTTCTAAAGAAAAAAAAACAAAAAAAAGAAATAAGTAAATAGCTATCACTATGTCTTGCATATAATAAATGTAGTGATTTTTCATGAAAAATCACGTGTAATAGCTACTATTTAGCAATCCGTAGTCTCCATCCATTACTTTATTTGCCCCATAATTAATGGGGTAAGATGCATAGCCTCCACGACAAATCACTTGGCCTCTAGCGGGCACAACAAACCCGCCATTTCTCGAAACAAATTGCATCTAGTCGGTCTATTTGCTGCCCATCTAGTTTAATATTCAATTAGTTTTCACTTCTCCATAAAAACATTACTCACGTTGCATTTGGAATAGGGAGGTGAGTCTTAGTAAGACTTTTAAGTTTAATCCTAATTGTAAGTGAAAAGAACAAATGTTACGCCCAAGATTAACTCGACTGAGGAGGTACCGGTGGAAAAATGAGTTAGAAATAAGATCGGTTTATGATTCGATTATTTCATTATATATAAAAAAATTTCATGCGAACTCAACATTGAAGTCAACATCAACAATCCAAAACAAGATGCAGCTCGTTTTGGTATTGAATTTTCTCAAAGTTTGTTGTGAATTGAGGAATTTTTCAATGTAATCGTCACACTCACATCGGCACATAATGTTACCAATCAACTAACGTCAAATTTGGCCCCAAAACAGTCCAAAGGCCCAAGCAGTCGGTAAGCATTGTGATACAATTACAATATGAAACTGGGTTAATTCTATTGTAGCGTTTATTTTTCACCCATCAATATAAATGGGCTATCAGACCCAAAATTATAAATGGGCTAGTACATTTACACTTGGGCCTTTACCCATTATGACCGGCCTAAATGACACCGACATTAGAAACACAAGGATCAATATGTAATTACACAAATCTATCCTTAAAATCGCAGCAACAAAAACCCTAGCGCTCGCCTCTTTACCGCCGTGCTGTTTTCTTGTCTTCTTCAAGCTCTCTAATTTTCACGATCTCGTCTGCAAATACAAACACTACCCCAAAGCTCTTAGTAAGAAACCATGGGTGAGCCTAATTCCTCTCTGCCCTTTATCTCACACTTTGCGCTTCATTTGATTCACTGTATTTTTCGTTCTATTTTTTAATTAATATATATGTATTCATTTTAATTTTCAGGTAAGGTTCATGGATCTTTGGCTCGTGCTGGTAAGGTGAGAGGCCAAACTCCCAAAGTGGCTAAGCAAGATAAGAAGAAGAAGCCCCGTGGACGCGCCCACAAGCGCATGCAATACAACCGCCGATTCGTCACCGCTGGTAATACCACCGCTTCATGATTTCCCTACCAGTATTTTGAGCCCTTTTAACTTCCTGAGACTAACTTAGTTGGTTAATTTTTAAAATGGGTTTTTGAGAAACTCGCATTTGGATTTTGATGCAATTTAAACAATTTTGGTGAGTTTTGAATTGATTTTAAGTGGGTCTTTAGGAATTCATGTTTTATGAGAAACCCATGTTCGGATTTCTGATGCAATGCCTTGTGTGATGTGTGATTGTTGTTGCAGTGGTTGGCTTCGGCAAGAAGAGGGGACCCAACTCATCTGAGAAGTAGACAAAGCTTTTGAGAAGATGAGAAGCAATTCGTAGATTAAGAAAAAGGCTTTATTTTCATTTCTTTTTATCATTGTGTCATTATCAATTCAAGACCCCAAAATGCTGGTTTGGTAGTTCGTAGAGAGATTTGGAAGTATTTTTTGGAATTTGTGCTCTATTTGAATTATCAGTAATGTGATTTTGTTTCTGGGTTTCTTGTTTCAAATTATTGTTGGCATGGCTGTTGATTTGACTTAAGTTTCTGCAAAGATAGAGTTGGATCATAATGGTAAATGAACTAAATCTCTAATTCCAGATTTCTTCATTCTTAATTGGCATGATAGTCTTACTAATTTGAGATGAGAGAAGAAAAAGTGTAGGGGCTTGAGAGTGAGTCAACAGTGAAATGGAAAGGTCCTTGCCCTTAAAAGTTCTCCAACCCTGCAATTTACAACTTTCTACAAGAAAGATCCCAAATCCCTTTCCCTGCTTGCCACCCAAGATTGAAACCCGAGGGTATGTAACCCAAAAAAAACAAGATCTCAAATCCTCATTCGACAGATCATATCAGGTAATGAACTACTTTTTCAGAACTTATTGGGGGTTACATTTATTTTTAATGCAATTTGCGCTGGGATGCTTCGTGTCAAGACTTCGGAATTTTTCGTAAGCATTTGTAGTTAAAGATTACACAAGTGATTGATGAATTAGCAGTGTGTTGAAATCAGAAACCAAAAGGTTTACTGTGAAAGAACGAAGCTGAAGAACAAAGGGACAACATACAAAACTTCTGCCATGTGAACATTATTTAGTATCAAAAGTGAATATTATTTAGTATCCAAATGATCGAATGACAAGCATCCACCATGTATATATGAATTATACAAGCAACCCAAAATTGGTGCATACGGAATTTAGACATAATGTTGGTTTGTGATTCGAAATATGTATATATATGAATTATACAAGCAAGCCAAAACTGACGCAGAAGCAACATCTAAACATTATGTTGGCTTGCGAAACTTAAGGGCATCAAAGCGGGCAGCAAGTGCGTCGTAATCTGGTAATTTCGGATGAACTCGAGAAATCGTAGCTGCTGAAGGTGGGGGTGGTGGAGGACGCTCAGGTGCTTGATGAAAGCCACTAGGAGGTGCCTCCATTTCAACTTCTTCATCACAGTCTGATTCATCAAACCTAATATCTGAATGTTCTGATGGGGCGTTATAGCTGTATCTCCTGTAGACGAATTTCTTCTCATCTCCATGGCTAAGCACTGTTTCCTCATTTCTTGAAGAATGAGACCTATCAATTCCACAAGCTTGAGATTGGTGATCGATATTCTGAGAATCAACTGGTGGACCATCTGGCATGAAGTGGCCAGTGGAATGGCCAGAAGGGGTTCCAAATCCATTATTGACGCTTAGAGGAACTTGAGGTGCTTGACTGAAGTCTTTGTTGGCCAGATATGCAGCAACTTGTGCAGCAGCCATTGCATCATTTGCAGATTTTGCAGCTGCTTCAGCAGCAGAGGCCGAGTCTGCAAAATGCATATGTCCCCTTTCTCCACTGCTACTTGTTCTGCGTGAAGAGCTGGAGGAAAGTATGACACAAATATAATTAATGGATGATCAAAATATGCTCGAGTATTACAATGAGTAGAGCAGCCAAGTTACCTGGTGCCTGGCTTATTGGGCTGAACAGATCCCCTTTCTCCAGCGCCACTTGTTCTGCGTGAACTGGAAGAGAGAATTATAGAAATAAGATAAATGGGAAATCAAACTATGGTCGAGTTTAAATTACAATGAGATACGTAGAATAGCCAAGTTACCTGGTGTCTGGCTTATTAGGCTCGACAGATTGGGCCTGCAAAGGCATGCTGGTAGCACTGACAAAATTGCTTGGTCCTTGCTGTTCAAATAACAGTAAACAGAAATCTTAAAATGGGAAATTTCTTGAATATAACCTGAGCGAGAGAGAGAGAGAGAGAGAGAGAGAGAGGAACACACTATAAGCTCTTCTGGAGGCTTGAGAAGCTCCTGTTCAGATTCTGATGTATCCCACTCAACCTGGTATTCCTTGGCTATCTCCTTCAGGAGTTTCAACTTTACTTCACCCGTAGGGGTTCTAACAGAGAGCTTGTCAATCAGCTGTAAAAAACATAAGCACTCAACTATCATTCACAGAAATAAAATATGAACTGAAATCAGAAAATTCAAATAGTTGATTAAATCTACAACTCTAAATGCTATGACAGGAAGATCATGCTTACCATGCGGTTTACACCACAGCTGGGTCGTACGTCAACAGCGGCAGATACAAAATCTCTTCCATATTTTTTCTCAAAAATATTCCGAAGCTCCAATAGTTCTGGAATCTCAGAGCACCTTGGGGATGCAAAGATTAAACTGGCAATCCCTTCTTTGAGATCCGCTGGACATTCCCTGTAACAAATTGGATCAGCATTGGGATGAAGATAGCTGCGAAATGCATCAAAGATATTACAGTATCATTACCTTTGCTTTGCAATGATAGAAAGTCTGGACACTACTAATTCACAGAAAAGCTCAATGAACTCATTTGCAGCCAAAACATTCTGCTCTCTGATCACATGTTCAACCTACACAACAAAAAATTCATTTGTAATTAGTGCCACATTCCAGATCACAAATATTGAGTCCACAGCAAATTTCAGCATAAGCAGAACATTGGTACTATACGAAAACTAAAATATTTTCAGATTCACATAAAAAAGAGAAATCAACATCCACAAGCTTGGGCAGCTGTTTGAAGGGACATCCTAAAAATTTATACAACAGATGATGCTGTCTACCCACACCAGAGTCAATAAAATATATAAAGAAACAAACAAAAAGAAGAGGAAATTGTTCTAATCACTGTCAGGGTAAACCATTCAGACAATACATATCAGTCCAAAAACATGTAGACATTTGATAATTGAATAGAAATGAAGTAGTAGAAACTAGAGCGGGCTGTTTTTCCAAACAAACAGAGCTGCTGACATGCTTTTAGAGCATAGAGACCAAAAGCCATGAACTTTAGATTCCTATGATAACTAAATGAATAATAAAAAGTGTTAAGTACCCGGATTCGAGCAGTGGCGTCTTGACCTGACTGGAGGAGCAAGGCAATGTCACGCCTCATCTGCTTCACCACCGCCTGTCTCTTGTTCCTCAGTAGCTTTATCCTAGCCACCGCCATTTTCGCTTGCATTTTGCTGTTTCATTATTCAATTCATTTATCCCCATCAAAAAACGAAAACCATTCAGCAAAAGACTAACTCCCATCATGTTAAATTGCAGAGAAAATGCAAACGCTGAACAAAAGATTTCAACTTTAACAATTTTACCATCTGGGTCTCTAAAACTCCTATTCCCACCCCGTTAAACTGCCGAGAAAAAGCAACCACTGATCAAAGATTTCAACTTTAATTTTTCATCATCTGGGACTCAATAACACCTACTACCCACATTTTCTCGGCAACCAAACATAGGAACTAGTTAAAGTAACACAGAAAAGTTGCCTAAAAATTAAAAATTTAAGAAACCCAGAAAGGGAAACGGCAGAGAGATAGAAAAATGTACCATTTGGAGGAGTTAAATCCCCAGCGGAAGAGAGACCGGCCGAGCTTCACGAGCTTCTTGGTGTGGGTTGTGGCTACAGTGGCAACAGTCATGGTCTGAGAGAGTGTGTCTGAGTCTGAGACCTAAAACTGAAACACAGCTTCCTTTGGGGGTTGGGTTTATAGGGAGTGTAACGGTAAGCCTGAATTGGAACGTTTTTTCAGCTTACTGAAATTGGAACAGGGAACGCTTACTCATAGAACTAGAAATTATACTTGAGATCCTTTTGAGGGGCCCACTTGATTACCGACCTTCCTATTGACTTGTTTGATGTTGGGATTATAAATGGGGAATGGGCCTCTAAAAGGAAAATATAGCCGTTGGGATATGACGCGTGGGAGAGAGCTGGATCGTGTGAGAGAAGAATCCAATGACAAAGTCGGTGTGCTGCAACTACAATCTCGCAAAAAGCAAAAAACAAAAGAGAAAAAAAGAGAATGCTGTCTGTGTTGTTCGATTTCTTTGTCATTAATGGTTTTTTTTTGTTGTGTGGTCACACACACTAGTTTTTAGTGTTATTAGTTCACGAGTTGTGTCATAACATCAATAACTAGTAACACTACATGATCATCTGATGATCACACCGAAAAATTAGTAATATCATGTTTTTTGTGATTTATTGTAATCATATAGATATAGATTTGGATTGAAATCATATTAAAATCTGATCCATCTTGAGACATATGCAAAATAACTTGCCTTTTGGTTAAACTCTAAACTTGTGTGAACGAGTAATGAACTTCTTCTATCTATTTTTTTGGTTGTTGAATATATGAGTAAAATAAAAGAGGAAGAAATGCCCCACTAATGTTTGGATTTTTAAATAAAAACAGTAGTTATTTGTGGCTTATTACTAACAGCTTCTTTTTAGATCTAATAAATAAATGTTGTGTCATATAGGATTGAAATTGTCATATTTTAAGTTGGTAAGGGCAGTGAGCTCATTCCTTTGCACCTAAGTTCGAATCTCTCTTTCTGTAAATTAGATTAATATTTACCCCCCCAAAAAAGATTGTCATATTTGATATTTTTTTTTTTGGCCATGATTCATATATCTAGCTAGATGTATTATAATTAGATTATGATACTGAGCTCATGATTCATATATCTAGCTAACCATATTAGATTTGAATGGTAATTGGATTTTTTTAAGAGCGATTGTAATGTTTGGATTAAAATCGAAACAATCTTAAGAATACGTTTCGATTCTCATGGATTTGGGAATACATCTTAAAACTTTCTAGCACTAGAACCATAAAGATTGAGACTTTAATTCAACTTGTATTGTATATACATTTATACACGAGCACATGAAAATTCAGATTTACACAAATTGGTGAAGAACAATATATTTTTGTAGATCCTCTAAAATTCGGATCCCATGCCACCAATGGGGATATGATGATCTCAATGAGAAAATATGTTTAGGAGAGAAACTCTGGTGCGGATCAAGAGCCTAAACAAGCCCTCCAAACCATTTTCAAGGCCTTCCATGCTTGAATCCAAAACCTCCAATCTTCTCTGTGCAGATTGAATCTTCTCAGCCTCAATTTCTTCACTTGCTTGATTCACAAGCATGTTG